GTGGGAGACAAGCTTTGGGGGAATGATTACAATAAAATGTGGAGAGCCTCTGACAAAGTACAATGATCTAACTTAGTCCAGGAGATCAAGAAAGTACTCCCTGAAAAATCAAAATCTAAACCAAGAACTGAAGAGTATATAGGTGGTTGGTGGTAGGGCAGAAGTGATCTATCTAATCAGTGTTCTGTGAGCAGACTAGAAGGAGAGAGTGGGCACCATTTGGGAGGAACCAGAGTGAAGGTGCAGGTTTGGGGAAGGGAACAGTTCGTTTTTTTGTTTTTTTGGTTTTTTTGAAGTTGTTTTTGTTTATTTGTTTGTTTTGTAATCTCTATGCCCAACTTGAGGCTCAAATTTACAACCCCAAGATTGAGAGTCACATGCTCTTCTTTTTTTTTAAAGAATTTATTTATTTATTCATTTATTTATTTTTAAATTTTTATTTATTTATTTGACAGAGAGAAACACAGCGAGAGAGGGAACACAAGCAGGGGGAGTGGGAGAGGGAGAAGCAGGCTTCCTGCGGAGCAGGGAGCCCAATGTGGGGCTCGATCCCAGGACCCTGGGATCACGACCTGAGCCGAAGGCAGACACTTAACGACTGAGCCACCCAGGCGCCCCTAGTCACATGCTCTTCTGAACGAGCAGTCCAGGCCCCCCTAGTGAGAAGGTTTTGAGTGGCCTGTGGCAGGTGCCATTCATGCCTTGGACTCATGGACTTACCAAGAGCTTTTGGATTTGACCTTGAAGAGAAGAATTCCATGCAGATTTCACACTGAAAAGGTTGTCTTGCCACAGAGTGGGTAATGGATTAGAGGGGCTGGAGTGGAGGTGGCTATCTACCAGAGAGATATGAGGTGAGACTCATTTGCAGTGAAGGGCCACGCAGGTCTGTGTCTGCCATTGTAACTGAACTACATGAGTTTGCTCCTTGGTGAATCACGGAAACTATGCGAGGTGGAGTTGTCACACAAAGGAAGTTTTATTTGCAGCAAAGAAGGAGATCACAGGGAATAACATCCAACCCTGACTCTAAGAGCAAAGGTCGACTAGGTGCCCCCTAGGGTTAGGATGAATAGAAATGGGAGCCTTGGGTGCCTAGCTGGCTCAGTCAGAAGAGCATGGGACTTTTTTTTTTTTTTTAAAGATTTTATTTATTTATTCGACAGAGACAGAGACAGCGAGAGCAGGAACACAGCAAGGGAGAGTGGGAGGGCGAGAAGCAGGCTTCCCGCTGAGCAGGGAGCCCGATGCGGGACTCGATCCCGGGACTCCAGGATCATGACCTGAGCTGAAGGCAGTCGCTTAACCAACTGAGCCACCCAGGCACCCGAGCATGGGACTTTTGATCTCAGGGTTGTGTGTTTGAGCCCCACAGTAGGTGTAGAGATTACATAAATAAATAAATAATTAAATAAATAAACTTTAAAAAAAGAAGAAGAAAAAGAAATGGGAGCCTTGTCATCGTATGTAGAAGTAGGCATAAGGTCATGTATGTGCCTTAAGGAAACATGCCTACACATACCTTTCATGTTATGTAAATGAGGCTTATGCTTCTCCTTGTGTGAAGACTTTACTATTATGATGAGGTAAAGGTACCTGTCAGTGACTCCATGGGTCACTCCATGGTCCATCTGCCCAGGCATGAATCAGGGGTTAAGCTCAAACTGGTCTGGGTGGTCTGGGTTGCCAGAACTCTTCATCCAGGCAGTCATTATTGCTTGAGGGGTAGTTTTGGTTTCCATCACAGGATGCTGTGTCCAGGGGTCTTTTGCCTGAGTTAAAAGATAAGCTGGAAAGGAGAACTTAGGGGAAAATGTGGGACAAAATTTAGTGGGTACTAAAGTACCCACTAAAGGTCAAGTCTTGGGGTCTAGCTGGTGATACTGGGACTATGCTCTCAGAGCTGAGTCCTAAAGCCCAGAGCTTGTGTGTATCCTCCTGATTTCTAGGGGGCCTATAATCTTCTGGGATTTGGGAAAGCCTCTGCTCTAGCATGGGGTGGTCTTCATAAAGAGGAAACTCTCAGGAACCTGGAGGGACCCAGGCAGTGAATCATTAGTCTGAGTCCAAATGGAGACAGCAATGGCCAGTCCGGGAGACCCAAGAATACAGATTATTTTCCCTTGACAACAGCCAGTGAGAAGATGAGAAGACAAGGAATGTTTTCTGTCTGTGGAAATCTCTGGGGGCACCTGGACTGGGAAGACACAAGTCTTCCAGGCTGTTCCTTGGGCTGGCCTGGAATCCTGGTTTTGTGTCTGTCTGGTACCCGACTCTGAGAGCCCTATGGGTTACAATGGGCCTGTGTCTTTGGGTTCCTCAACAGGCCCAGGTCACTAAAGCTGACCATTACCTGGAGGGTTCTGACCTGTGAGGAAGGAGCCCATACTGCTTTATTGGCTTAGGAAATCATTGGAACACTTCTGGCCTCAGCTTTGTTATCAATAAAACAGGCTTAACTAATGATCTCTGAGGCATTGTTTCCACAAGTGCCTGGAAGGATGGTGATGATGATAAACATAATGGTTAACATTCATTTTTTGCTTTACTTTTTTTTACTTTTAAAATCATGTTTATTGGGGCGCCTGGGTGGCTCAGTTTTTAAGCGTCTGCCTTCGGCTCAGGTCATGGTCCCAGGGTCCTGGGATGGAGCCCCATATCGGGCTCCCTGCTCCGCAGGAAGCCTGCTTCTCCCTCTCCCACTCCCCCTGCTTGTGTTCCCTCTCTCACTATATCTCTCTCTGTCAAATAAATAAATAAAATCTTTTAAAAAAAATCATGTTTATTGAGGTATAATATAGATGCAATAAAAGTGCACAAATTTTGGGGCACCTAGCTGGCTCAGTCGGTAGAACATGCGATTCTTGATCTTGGGGTTGTGAGTTTGAGCCCTAGGTTGGGTGTAGAGATTACTTAGAAATAAAATCTTTTAGGGCACCTAGGTGGCTCAGATGGTCAAGCGTCTGCCTTCGGCTCGGGTCATGATCCCGGGGTCCTGTGATCAAGTCCCGCATCGGGCTCCCTGCTCCTTGGGAGCCTGTTTCTCCCTCTGCTTCTCTCTCTCTCTGTCTCTCATGAATAAATAAATAAATAAATCTTAAAAAAAAATTAAATTAAATTAAAAAAAACAAAAACCAAACCTTCTTTGGGTGATTTTAAAGATAAATAATATCTTTAAAAAAATTACAAATCACCACAATCAAGTTATAGAACCTTTCCATCACACGAAAGTATTCCCTTGTACTTCTTCATTGTCAATCCCTTCCCTTCTCTCCCTGCCGCAGGAAAAACTGTTCTGATTTATATTACTATAGATCAGCTTTGCCTTTTTTAGAATTTCACGTAAGTGGGATCATACAGTATGAACTCTTTTGGGTCCGACTTTTTTAAAAAAGATTTTCTTTATTTATTTGAGAGAGAGAGAGAACAAGAGAGAGAACGAGCAGGGTGAAGGGCAGAGGGAGAAGCAGACTCCCCGCCAAGGAGGGAGCCCGGTGTGGGACTCAATCCCAGGACTCCGGGATCATTATCTGAGTTGAAGGCAGACACTTAACCAACAGAGCCACCCAGGTGCCCTTGGGCCTGACTTTTTTTGCTTAACATAGTACATTTGAGATTTAGTGGTGGTGGTGTGCATACTAGTTGTTCACTCTTTAAAAAAATTTTTTTTTTGGTATTCATAATGTTTACCATTTTACTCATTTTAAGTGTGTAAGTCAGTGACATTAAGTATATTCATAATGTTGTATAATCAACACCACTATTTCCAGAATTTTTTTCATCATCCTAAACAGAAACTTTGTACCCGTTAAACAATAACTTTATTTCCCCTCACCCCCAGTCCCTGGCGACCTCTATTTTACTTTCTGTCTCTATGAATTCGCCTATTCTAAGTACCTCGTGTAAATGGACTCATAATACAATGTTCCTTCATATCTGTTTTCTTTTTTCACTTAGCACGATATTTTCAATGTTCACACTAAAGCATTTATCAGTTTCAGTCATCTTTAAGGCTGAGTAATTCCATTGTATGTATATACCACTATTTGTTTACCCATTCATATGTTGATAGATGCTTGGATTTGCTCTTTTTTTTTTATTGCTGAGCAGTATTCCATTGTATGGATACACCACAATTAGTTTATCTGTTCATCTCATGGACGTTTGGATTATTTCCTATTTCTGGCTATTAAGAACAATCCTTGAGTGGGCCTATGCATTCATTTCTCTTGGGTAAATACTTAGGAGTACAATGGCTGGATCACATTGTAGGCATGAATTTAGGTTTTAAAGATTTTTTTTTTTTTTTAATTTATTGCTTATTGGAGAGAGAGCATGTGCACAAGCAGGAGGAGGGGCAGAGGGAGAAGCAGGTTTCCCGCCGAGCAGGGAGCCCGATGCGGGGCTTGATCCCAGGACCCTGGGACCATGACCTGAGCTAAAGGCAGACGCTTAACGACTGAGCCACCCAGGCGCCCTTGAATTTAGTTTTTAAAGAAATGCCAAGCTTCTTCAAAATGGTGGGAAATTATCAATGGAGCACTCCACAGCCTTGCCAGTCTTTAATTTTAGCCTCTTCCTTGGGGTTGTGGGAGTTCTGATTAGAATGTCCCTGATGAATAATCGTATTAAGCATCTTTTCATGGGTTTATTCGCTATTTATATTCTTTTGTGAATTATCTGTTCAAATCCTTTGTCCATAAAAAAAAGGGGGGGGTGTTCATACCTATTTTCGGAATTAATGTCTGCCGGGCACTATGCTCACTAGTGCTCTGGCTTTATATGCTTTAACTAACCACCGCCCCGCACAGCGGAAGTAACGGAGCAAGATCGGCTGGCGGAGAAGGGTCTGGATCGCTCCGATACCGGAGGGCTCGGACGTTTCTGGGCAGGGCCCAGAGCTCTTGAAGGCTCGCGCCATGATTGGCTGAAGGAGCACTTCCTCAGGCACTTCCGACTCCCGGCCAGCCCAGAGCATCAGTAATTGGCTGAGCTGGCCCAGCGCGAGTCTTTCCGGGAGTTGTAGTTCTTGGGGCTCTGCCGGGGACGCCGGGAAGGACCAGTGGTCAGAGGCCAGGAGCGGCAGTTGGGCTTGGTTGAGGCTGCTGACGCTATGTCCCGCGTGTCGGTGCCCTGCCATGTGAAAGGCACGGTGGCCTTGCAGGTGGGCGACGTGCGGACCTCCCAAGGCCGGCCTGGTGTGCTGGTCATCGATGTCACTTTCCCCAGCGTCGCGCCCTTCGAGGTGAGCAAGCCCCGTGGGCGCGACCGGGGCTCCTGGGCGGGGCTGACCTGGGAACTCGGGCGTGTCCCAGGCATTTAATCTTTTACCGAAAGCCTCTGCAGCGTCCTCGCCCTTGCAAATCAGTTAATCATTTATTTATTACTTCAGTAAACACATATTTACTAGAATGCGGATTTCTGTCCCGTTCTCTTCAACGACTCTCCCCGATGTCCAGGACAGGGCAGGCGTAGAAGTGCCAAGATAGTAGGGTGATGCTGGAAATACAATTGTGAACCAAACAGAGGTGAAAGGTCATTTTGTTCCTGGCCACTGGGCTGGGGATCATTAGACAATGAGTTACCCCCAAACCTGCCTCCTGTCCATTCCCTACAGTCCCTGCTGGAGGTCAGGTTCAGCACATTGCTCCTCAGGATCATCCCAGTGGCGCCAGTTTCCAATCTCCAGTTGCCCGTCCACATCTGCGGGCAGAGTGACTGACACTACAAGGCCTCAGCGCAGAGAACAAAGTCCACTTTCTGATGGCTTGGCATTCGGAGCCACTCTGTGTCTGTGCCCTGCCTGCCTTTTGACCCCATGCACTTTGTCCCATAGTGTGTGGTCCTCTTCCAAGCTGTTCCTTACCATAAGCTGGGAAACTTCATTAAAGGGCCCAACCCTGTAAATACTGATTCATTATGTCTGGGTGGAGCCTGTACATTTATATTAAAAACAAAAAAACAAAAACCAAACCTTCTTTGGGTGATTCTGATGAGTGTCCAGTGATGAGAATTGCTGTAGCCAGGCTGAATCACTGCTGTTTCATCCTTTGGTGCCCCTTTGCTTATGATAATTTTTTTTTTTTAAGATTTTTATTTATTTATTTGACAGAGACACAGCGAGAGAGGGAACACAAGCAGGAGGAGTGGGAGAGGGAGAAGCAGGCTTCCCAAGGAGCAGGGAGCCCAATGCAGGGCTCCATCCCAGGACCCTGGGATCATGACCTGTGCTGAAGGCAGACGCTAATGACTGAGCCACCCAGGCGCCCCTGCTTATGATACTTTTACACTCTCTCTGTCCCAGTCCACTTGGTGAACTCCTCCTTTTTGAGGCCTCATCTGTACATTTTCTGCCTTCTCCAGAGTTAAGGTTCTGGCAGCATCTTAGACTTGTGAAAAAGATCTGCGGTCATGGTTTATTTGCATGACCTGCTCATTTGGACTGTGAGCTCTTCTAGGAAAGTGAAATTGTCTTTGGGCCCTAGTGGATGCTTGTTGAAATTGCTAGATTGGTAGACGAGTACATTCCTAAGGGGAGGAGGAGATGGTACATGGTTCATTTGAGCCTCTCAGGCCCTGGGCCTGGGTCTGATTTGTCATGGTGGGTTGTGTGTGCTCTAGTTACAGGAGATCATGTTTAAGAATTACTACACAGCCTTTCTGAGCATCCGTGTTCGGCAGCACAGCTCAACGCACACCCCGGCGAAGTGGGTGACTTGCCTGCGGGACTACTGCCTCATGCCCGACCCGCACAGTGAGGAGGGAGCCCAGGAGTATGTATCGTTGTTCAAGCACCAGGTCAGCTGGGACTCAGCATGGCTAGGGAAGTCCAGATGAGGGCTCTCAGGGGGCCTGGGGATTGGACCAGGATACCTGGAGGGAAGAGGGGAGGTAAGGCTGGCCTGGGATTGTACCTCAGAGGGATTACTGTTCTTTCCTTCCTAAAGGCCTGGGGAGGCAGTGTCTTGGCTCACTGCTGATTGGGAGGCTCTTGGGCAGTGAGCTAGGGCCTCGCTGGGTCCTTGTGTGTGTGTATCTATGTCAGATGCTGTGTGACATGGCCAGAGTACTGGAGCTGCGCCTGATTCTGCGACAGCCATCACCACTGTGGGTGTCTTTCACAGTGGAGGAACTGCAGATTTACCAGCAGGGACCAAAGGTAAGTGGCCAGCTCAGGGCTGTTGGTTGGCTCTTTCTCTCGGAGGCTCTTAGCTATGGCTAGGAGAGCTGGGTGTGGGGCTGGGAGTGGACGGTAAGACTCAGAAGGAAATTAGCCAGGAGGGAATGTTGGAAGCTAAGGGTGAGAGGTGAGGTCATGTCTTCATATCCTCTGACCTTTGAGGCCACCTGCCTCTCTCAGAGCTTGAGTCTTCAAGTGCTGGGAGATGCTTCTGTTCCTTGTGTTCCTGGGGCTTCCTGCATCGCAGAAGAGCTTAGGTAGTCTCTAAACTCTTAGGTAGTCTGACTGCCCCCTTGGACCTCTTGGACCCCTGAAGCTCAGCCTTGAAGCTCAGGTGCCCTTCTCTCTTCTCTGAGGACCTTGAAATCTGGTCCTAGGGCTTTTCCATTCTGCCTCCTTCAGGGCCGTATGCCTTTGCTTTGCAGAGTCCCTCCATGACCTTCCCCAAGTGGCTCTCCCACCCAGTGCCTCGTGAGCAGCCTGCTCCCCTCATTGAGGTAAGCCCTCATCGTGGGTCAGAACCATGTGTGAAAAGCTCTTGTGTCCAGCACAGGCCCAGGCGGGCCTCTTTCTACAAGAATTTGGGGCTGGACCCAGGGCCCTTTGTTCACTGTGCCATCTTCCTCTTGGGGGGTCCATTGGATTTGAGGCATATCTGAATGGGGCTGGGCTGCGTCCTGCACATGGGGCCCCAACCTCATGTTTTGCAAGTCACCTGGGAATGTTACTGGTCTCAGTTGGAGGGCCCCATAGCCCAACTTGGTCTCTCTGGAGCTTTAAGGGCACTGCTGGGGAGATACCCATGGCCACTGACCCCTCCTTCTGGAGCAGGGTCTCCCAGACCCCAGCAGGGTATCCTCCGAGGTGCAGCAGATGTGGGCGCTGACAGAGATGATCCGGGCCAGTCACACCTCCACAAGGATCGGCCGCTTTGATGTGAGTGATTGCTTCCCTCTGCTTTGCTCCCATTGCCCTGAGCGGGTCAGATCTCATGGTCTTTTGTGTTGCAGGTGGATGGCTGTTACGACCTGAACTTGCTCTCCTACACCTGAACTGTGGCTGTTAGCCAAGATGTTGGCCTTCCGTGCCCACCCAGACCCGGTTTGGGCCACCAGAGGCTGGAGTGCTTTCCCTGTGCATTCCGAGTGTTGCCTGCATGTTCACTGGGTCTGGGCCACGTTCGCAGATTCAAGATTCCTGGGGGCTCACTGTGTTGCTTCAGCATGAGCTCTTGGCAGGGGTGCACTCTGTCCTCATCCGACTGCAACCTGAAACTCCTTTTCCTACCCTAAAAACATTTCAGTTCTACATACTAAGAATCCCCTTGTGCCCTCTGCTCCTTCTGCCAACATGCACATTCCAGACTCCTGCCTGCTCCTTCACCCTGAGTGCAGTGGGTTGGGGTGACCTACTAAACCTGCTCTAGCTGTTGCTGGAAGGCTGCTTGCTGTAGTCTTCGCACTCAGGTAGTTTGGAAGCTTGAGGGAAAAACAGGAGCCCATTTCTTCCTTCTGCGCCCCCTAGTGGTCTTCTTTCCCTTTGTGTTACGCCCCTAAGAAGAAATTTCCTGTCTTAACTACCTGCTGCCTGCCTAGGGAGCAAAGCTGGGGATTTGGGCAGCCTGAACCCCTTGGTCCCTGAGCTTGCTCCTGGATGCGTGTTCAAATGGGTCTGCCCATCCAGCCTGGGCAGGTGCCTCCGGCAAGGCCAGGGTGCGAGAATGAGTTCCGGGACCTTTGTGCCCAACGCACGTTCTTGTCCATTTTCCCAGCTGCCCCCTTCCAAGAGTCATGCTCAGTGTGATGAAAGATCAGCCTTGGTAGGGTGTGGGTCCAGGTGAGCGCTCTCAGAGAGGCTGAGGGCTGCTACAACCCCAGGCCTGCTGCTGAATAAGGCAGGCTGCTCTTACGAGAAAGTCTTCCTTTTCTGTTGTTTCCTGGCTTTGCCCCCCGGGGCTGTGATGCCGCAGCAGTACTGTAACTTGTGCTAGACCTGGAAAATGGGACATCTGTGGGGCTCAAAAGCTTTCTGGAGGAAGGTCAGCCCCCTTTTGGTGGCCACCCTGTGCTCTTACCAGAGTTCTTGCAGGTGTTGCCCCATTCAGCTTCTGTTAGGAGGGTAATGACCACAATCCTGTACTCAGGGAGTAGCAGCCCTCAGAGAGAGTGTGAGAGAGAGAATGTGTGTGTGTCAGAGAGTGGGGGGAGGTCCCTGGGGCGGTGGTGGGGACTGTGCTTCATTCATACCCAGCACAGGGCCTAGTGTGCAGCAAGATCAATAAATAGTTGTGGAAAGCAAGACTACTGGCTGCCTGTGTCCTCCCAGCGCGAAAGCCGGAGACCCTCACTAGAGGCCAGATTACTGATGTGCTCCGCCTGCCAGGCCGGCTCCACCCTCCTGCGTCCTCTCCACCCCCTCCCCTCCTCCCATGTGACCCTACACTCCTGATGTCCTGAATGCGCAATTCAGGCCTTTTGGCCCTTTATAGAACTTTGGCCTTCTGGAGGCAGGGCAGTCAGCAAGGGGAGGTCTAGCCCCCAGCTCTGTCTCGGAGCAGCTTGACTGGTTTGGACCGCCTAATCGGCCCTGGAAGATCAACTGGAAGTGCCTGGGGCTGTTTCCCTGCAGATTGGAGTTACTGCACACTGCCCGAAAGCCCCGCCTGCCCTTGGGGCTGCCTGCCTTTGGGGCCGCCCGCCCCTTCTGATCCCCTTTGTGGGAGAGAGACCTGTCCAAGCAGAGCCGGGACTACATCTCCCAGCGTGCCTGGCAGAGTGGCGGCCTCCGTGCGCCGGCTGCACCGGTTGCGGGCAACAATGCAGCGGGCAGTGAGCGTGGTGGCCCATCTGGGCTTGCAGCTGAAGGCGCTCCCGTCGGCCCTGGGCCGTCCGTTCAGTTGTGCACAGGTGGGATCGAGGGTGCTGGGGCGTGGTGCCAATTTTGGAGGTGGGGGAGGGAGGAGGGTGGAGGCCGGGACAGGTGGCCCTGAACCCAGCCACCCGCAGGATGTGCTCCGCAGGACACCACTCTATGACTTCCACCTGGCGCATGGTGGGAAGATGGTGGCGTTTGCAGGCTGGAGTCTGCCTGTGCAGTACCGGGACAGCCACGTGGACTCACACCTGCACACACGCCGGCACTGCTCGCTCTTTGACGTGTCCCACATGCTGCAGGTGAGCCAGGGGAGCACGCCAGCTGCCCAATCAGGGCTTCCTCCCCGTCTACAGTGGTGCAACCCTTGGCTTTGTGGGGAGCTGGATTCCAAGGGCCACCACCCTCGCAGAAGAGGTAGGTCCCCGGTGTCATAGACTGTGGCCCCCAGGAAATGAACTCAGAGGGTCTCTTGGTTGTCTCCTCTTTAATCTCTTCAGCCTGCTCCCACTCAGTGGTGTGCCTCTGTGTCCTGGGTTCCCCAGGGCTGGCGCCCATTCCCATCGACTCTCCTGGGTGTTGGTTTGGAAAAGGGGGTATTTCAGGATGGTGCTGGGCCCTTTCAAGTTTCCTAACCTCCCCCACTGCACCCTCTCCTGTGGTGGCAGAGGTGGGGGAATCAGAAGGTGGGGCTCTGCCACCTGCAGAATCAAAGGACTGCTCAGGCATTTTGGCTGAGTCGGACTGGGTTGTGAACAGCAGGGAGGGTGCCTCCTTGCCCAGTGGCCTGAGGTTTTTGATTTCTTTCCCAGACCAAGATACTTGGTTGTGATCGGGTGAAGCTGATGGAGAGTCTAGTGGTTGGAGATATTGCAGAGCTAAGGCCAAACCAGGTGGGTCCTTCTTCTCTCGTATTTCTGCTCAGTGGGTGTTCTTAGTCTTGAGCCAGCAAATGGGAGGGGTGAGGGCGCAGCCAAGGCTCAGACACAGCATCTCAGGGGTTGCAGTCTTGGGGGATGGGGTCCCTGAGTCATGTCCAGACGTCCAGTTATCTGCAGGGAGGGGGCTTATTCCGTCCTTAACCACATCAGGCTGGAAAGCCAGAAACCCAGGTTTATGTCCTGTTTTGTGACCTTACATGCTGTCAGACCCCTTGCAATGCAAAGGTAGTCCCTAATCCAGCAGCCTCATCATCACCAAGAGCTTGTTAAGAATACACTCTCAGGCCCTGCTCCAGACCTGCTGAATCAGAACCTGCGTTTTAACAAGATCCCCAGGTGATTCATGCGATCTCGCAAACTCAGGCTGTGTCCATCCAGTGGGGAGGCTGTGAGGCCAGCCTCACGGTATTTTGGAGTATTGCTGTGGCACTCATGGGATCACCAGGATGGACTTTGAAGTCTCTGTCTTGGGGTTTGGGGCATGGACTGAGTTGTCTCAGGTCTGAGTGGGATGAAGTAAGTCCTAGATGTCCTGGATTAAGTGTGAAGTGGGGCTCTCAGTACTGAGTGGGGAGAAGTGCAGAGGCCCCACCAGGTCAGGGAGGTCTCCCAAGATGGGGAAGGGGAAAAAACTTCTCTCGGTGCATGAGGATCAAAAACCCCGGGCTGGGCAGGGGCATGGGCTTGCCTAGCCTTGCTCCTTGCTCCTCCTCCCCTCCCAGCCCTTTGCCTGAGGGTTCATGAATTGTGGTGGCTGAGTGGGCCAGGGGTGTGTCTGACTCATACTTGACCTGGGCCTCCTGGACCTGGAGGCAAAGATGTTCCACTTTGGCACTAGGGGACACTGTCGCTGTTTACCAATGAGGCTGGAGGCATCTTAGATGACTTGATTGTGACCAGCACCTCTGAGGGGTACCTGTATGTGGTGTCCAACGCTGGCTGCTGGGACAAGGACTTGGCTCTCATGCAGGTACGGCCCCTCTGTGTTCTAGGTACCCTGTCTTCTTTTCTCACAGAGCAGCATCCTTGTTGTCCAGGACAGACCTGGCAGGGACAAGGGGCTCAGACAATGGCTCTTTGAGTGAGTGAACAGCAGGCCAGAGTGGGCCCTCCATGGAGAATGCCAGGTTTCAGTGATGGGGGGAGTAGGGAAGGTGAGACTGGCCCTGGTTCCCAAGCAAGCACCCTCTGGTGAAGGTGGAGGCTGGAGCCCGATGTGAACACTGGCAGACCTGGGCTTGGGTCATTCCTACCACTTAGTTGTATGACCTTGTAAGATGGAACCCAGCTTACTCTGCCTTAGCTCTTCAGCTCTCAGCCCGCAGTAGGTGCTCAGTAATCCCAGAAGCTGATGTGGTGTTTCTGTCTTTCCTTTCAGGACAAGGTCAGGGAGCTTCAGAACATGGGCAGTGACGTGAGCCTGGAGGTGGTAGATAATGCCTTGCTAGCCCTGCAAGGTGAGCAGGCCAGGCTAGGGTTGGAGCTGACCTTTGCCTTGCTGGCTTTTTTTGACTGCTCAGCACAGGGGCCATTCCAGGAGGGAGGTGTGGATGGTGTTGTATTTGTGTGCCATAATTCTAAGTTTGCAATTAGGCCCTCCCTCCACCTGCTATAAGGCTTAGGGCCTGTGAGCAAGAGCATCTCTCCGACCTGCAGAGTAGGACTTTGCTCAGGGCTTATTCTGGCCCCTGAGTAGGTCCAGCTTTGAGGGGAAACTGGGACCTGGACACTGGGTCACTGGCTTCCTGGGCCTAGGCCCCACTGCGGCAAAGGTTTTGCAGGCCGGCGTGGCAGATGACCTGAGGAAATTGCCCTTCATGACCAGTGCTGTGATGGAGGTGTTTGGTGTGTCCGGCTGCCGTGTGACCCGCTGTGGCTACACAGGGGAGGACGGTGTGGAGGTATGTCAAGATGTCAAGAAGTGGGTGTAGGGTAGTGTAGGGCACAGGACTCTGGAGCCAGTTGCCCCCTGCTCTCTGGTGTCGCATGCAGATCTCGGTGCCGGCGGCGGCAGCAGCCCGCCTGGCAACAGCTCTGCTGGAAAACCCAGAGGTGAAGCTGGCGGGGCTGGCGGCCCGGGACAGCCTGCGCCTGGAGGCAGGCCTCTGCCTGTATGGGAGTGACATCGATGAACACACCACACCTGTAGAAGGCAGCCTCAGCTGGACATTGGGTGAGTTGGGCTAGCACTCAGGGACTGAATCCCAAAGGCTGGAGTGGCCAGCCCATGACTGCTCCCAAGGTTGTGTACCCTGGAGCAAGTGACTCAGCCTCCCTAAGCCTCCTTTCCCTGAAGGTGCGATTGTGGCTTTGCCCATTAGACGCTGAGGATCTTCAGCAGGCTGAGGTGGGCAGCACAGCCTCTGGGTGTTGCTGGGGACAGGATGTGGGTGGCTAACTGCATTGCAGGGGAGAAATGGGGCTTGGGGGAACCTGAGCAAAGGGCCCTCACTGCTGGTTGGATGTTATTTGGGGTCCTTGTAACTAATCTCCTGGGGCCAGGGGTCTTACGGACTGTGGCTTAATCCTGGTGTGTCATGCTTCAGGGAAGCGCCGCCGAGCCGCCATGGATTTCCCTGGAGCCTCGGTCATTGTTGCCCAGCTGAAGGGCAAGGTGCAGCGGAGACGTGTGGGGTTAATGTGTGAGGGGGCGCCGATGCGGGTGCACAGCCCCATCCTGAATACAGAGGGCACTGTGATTGGTAGGTGGACCAGAAAAGTTGGAGGGCCCTTGTCCCTTCCCCAGGAAGGTGGGCATTGGACTGGCAAGGTGATGCTGACATACGGCCTCTGCTCACACAGGTGCTGTGACCAGTGGCTGCCCCTCTCCCTGCCTGAAGAAGAATGTGGCCATGGGTTATGTGCCCTATGAGTACAGTCGGCCAGGTACCCCGCTGCTGGTAGAGGTGCGGCGGAAGCAGCAAATGGCTGTGGTCAGCAAGATGCCTTTTGTGACCACAAATTACTATACCCTCAAGTGAAAGTGGCTTGGGACAGGGCCCCTCCCATCCAGGAGCCTGGACCTGGAGGGCATTCTACAAGGGTTAGTCAAGAAGCTGAAGCTGAATACATTGGGGGTAGGTGGCTAGGGTGGAGGTTGGTTCTGGTTATCTGGTTGAGGGCGGCCCATAACACCTGTTCCCACCCCCCTCCTGTGCCTCTCTAACTTTAAGAGCAAGGGACCAGCTCATGCAATGTCAGCCTGTGGTTCCACGGACCCTGTTCTCGTCTGCCTGCTGGAGGGCTGTGGGAAGCTTTAGTTCGGCATCTGTCCCTTCCACTCTGCCACGTGCTGGCTGTGGAGCAGAGGTTCACATTTAGGGAGGGGATAAGGCCCGCCCAGCCTACCTCACCATGGTTTCTCACACTGCAAGGGGCTTATTACCTTGGGTAGTGCCAGCCACCTCCTTCAGTTTACTTTCCATGAATGCAGACTGGGGCCTCTCCCTGGGTAGGAATGATTCCTGACTCACCAAGGGCTGGCCCTGTAGGGCTGCTGTGCCTGTGTAAACTCGGGGACAGCTGAGGAGGCACAGACTCACTCTTCCACATTCCCAAGTTAGCCCAGCCTGCTGCCCAGTAGCAAACCATGCCAGGCTCACCACCTGTCCTGAGCCCCAGGGCTGTTGTAGGACAGGCTGGGCCTTCTCCTGGACTTGACTTACCCTGGCTGCCCTTTGCCCCTGGTGCCCATTACTGGACTCCACTGACCTCTAAAAAAACATTAAACGAGCTTCCTTTTCTTCTTGCTTGCCAGTGTCTAGCTTCATTGTCCTTTGTCCACATGGTTCTTGGGGTGCCAGCCCAATGTCTGCTTGCCTGGCCTCTGAGGCAGGCTCAGAGTGGGTTCTCCCCGAGAGGAGCAGGTCTATAAAAACGAATGATAGTGCCCCTCCCTGTCAGGCACTCACCACTGCTCCTCCAGGGAGCTGGTGTCACCTCTCCACCTCTGCAAGTCGTTGCATTCTGGGCGCTGAGGGGCAATGTTCCCTCTCCAGTCTCCCCTGTGCATGCACACCCTTGTCCTGTCTCAATAATCACACAGCTGATGCACTTCCATGTTTAATAAGCTACATCCTCAGTTGAACCTGGGGTGAAACGTGAGACCCTGGTTCTGTGGGGTGGTGTCAATGGGCAGGGCCGGGGCTACAAAACTGTCATGCTACCAGTCAGAAGGTAGCTCCGGAGGAGGTCCACGTACATCAGTTCAGTGTGGTCCTACTTCCAGTGCACCTCTGCTGCCAAGGTGACCAGCCAAAGGCTGCTGGATGGAAATGTGACCTCTAATAGAGGAAGCAGGCGGCGGGACACTGAGGTAGCTGGTGGCGCAGCAGAAGCAGGTAGGAGTATGGCCTTCGGAGGCAGTTCTAGCGGTACGCTGCTTTCAGAAAGTGCATGTGCCGCTTACAAAGGCTGACCTTTGTAAGCTGTCCCGGCCCACAGTGTAGGTGGCAGGCCCGGGGCTCTTCCCGGCTGACGGTTCTTGGGGGCTGAGATGGTGCCAGTGGGGAGACCGTGGCCTCTTAGGATGAGGCTCCTGTGGCTCTGGGTCAAGATGGGAAGTGATGAAGCTGCAGGGCGTGGTGGGATAGGGCAACTCCTCACTAACTGCTTAGTGTCTCCCTGTGAGGGGGCAGGGTACAACCCCATGGGCACTTAAAAACGGTGGGGGTGGAAGGCCACCCCCCGGGGCTCAGCCTCTTTCAGGCACCTAGCTTCCCAACAAGAAGGACAGAGGAGTATGAATGAGTTGATATCCAGGAAAAGACTATTTTCATAGCCTGACTCACACCTGGAAAGCTCTGGATGGGCCAGGGAGGTGGGTGTGTGGTGCCTCCAAGTCCAGTTTGGTGCCAGCTCCCCCTGCCTTACACTTGAATGGGCCAGCTAAGTAACTACACAGTGTAAGGCCATGTCCAGTCCAGAATTCCCTGGCTCCCTGCCAACAAAGCAAAAACAAATTCAAGAAACCTAGAGCTTAGGGGAAAACAGGCTTCCCTTACAAATCCCAGAGCTGGTCAACCTCAAGTTTCCTCTCAGGACAAATTTCTATGGGGTCACATCCCAGGGGGATGGGAAGAGGGACAGGAAAAAGCCAAGGCAGAAAATGGACTGTTGGCCTCTCCAACCCAGAGGCTTCTGAGCTTACCCCTAAGAGAGGAGGGAGGAGCATGCCTTCTCCTTAAGGCACCCAGATCAGGGTAGAGGCAAACTTTACTGGCCCAATGCCTGGAGCTGCTGGAGGCAAGGCCAAGCGCAGTGGAGGCCCAGGCCTGCAAGCACTGGGGTACTCCCTGCCCCCAACCTTGACCTCCCTGTCGTTGTCTCTGGGGTCTGGGCAGCAGCAGAACCCAGTGTGGGAACCAGCAGACCCGGTGATGTCCCTGGAGATCCCTCTGCTGCCTTCCCTTATTCTCTGTGGGTTTTGAGAGGTTCGTTTGCTGTTGTTTCCCTAAAAGTGATGGAGAGAAGAGAGGGGTTATTCCCAGGCAGCCTAACAGTTCCTGATTGGCTCTCTAGCCCTTTATGGGCTGAGGTGGGCTCAGTAAGGCCACACTACAACCTAGACCTCTCTACTGAGTTCCCACGGCCCACACTGGGTCCCCCACCTGTCTCTTGCCAACACATTCTTCCTCCTGGTTCCTCGCCTTATCACGGTGTTCCTGTCTTTCCCCAGTTGCCCAGGACCTGGGCAGCGGCAAGCCTCCTAACTGGCCTCTTGCCTTCTCTGTTGGACCCCTTTATCTTCTTGCCATGAAGCAGGCCGTCACAAAGACAAGTTAGATCAGGCCATAGCCTTGCTGAGTCCTTCAATAGTTTCCTGAGATTTAGGATAGGGTTTCATGGTCCCTCCATGCCTTCATGTTTGAGCTGCAGTGTCACAGCCTTGTCTAGTCTTCCAATATGACACCCTTGTTCTTGCCCTGGCTCTCGTGCTATCCATTCTCGGCCTGGTACACTTAACCACTTCCTAGCCTTTGCCCTCAGCTTAGCTGTCTGTTTGGGGAGAAAACTCTGACCGCCCTCACCCCCTGCTCTGCTGCCCCTTCCCTTTTATTTTTATTATTTTTTGCTGCCCCTTTCTCTGGCTCCCCCTGTAAACAGGGCCTGGGTTATCCTTGTTCTCTGGACCTAGTGTGGCCCTGTCATATGGTAGGAGCTCAGAGATTAGTTGAACGAATGCTCTGATTAGTGATTTGGTTTTACAGATGAGGAGGCTGACCCTGATGAGGCCAGTCAGTGCAATAAGGACAGAGGCTCCTACCTTCCTAATTGAGGGGCTTGCAGTAGAGTGGAACCCAACAGACTTGCCATTTCATCTCTGAAATCACCACCTCACAGGTTGCTGAACAGCCTATTGATGGGCTGTTCAGAAATTGGTGTCACTCGAAGCCTGAGCTCCACTTGCAGGCCTTGGAGCTTGCTGCAAAGCCCACTAAACTGGCGGACTCCTGCCCTAAGAACTTCCTGCCCCTGTCCCTGTTCCCAGCACAGGTGTGTCCTCTGCCTGCCAAGCATGGGGTTGCCATGGGCACAGATTTACTCACCACGAAGTGAAATGCGTGGAGCCATCAGGTGTGGATCCATTCTGGCCGCCCAGACCTGGGGGCAGGAACACATCCAGAGCTGCAGCAGGCTGAGGGTGGGGATCTGAGCAGGTATCAGCCCAGTGGTGTTGTCTGGTGGTCTCGTGGGGGCCCTAAAGGGACTAGTAGTGTCTGATGCAGGTGTAAGGGAATAGTTAAAATGTGATGGGTGGACCGGGGTTTCTGGCATGAAATGGTATGTTGGCATGGGTCAGGGTACAGCGTTAAGTTGTGATAAGGTTCTCAGGGGACCAGTGGTAGTCTAGGGGGTTCTGGGGAGCCCAATGGTACAGTCCGGTGGGGGTGGGGAGCCTCACCTGGGCGGTGATACAGCCCTGTCACCGTGCTCCCGTAGAACCCCCACGCCAGCTGGATGCCCAGGAGACTTAACACCAACCACAGTAGCAGCAGCTTGAAGAGGGTCACGCGCATGTCCTGCGCCTCCCACTCCCGCAGGAACTCGCTGCCCAGGGTGCCCAGCGCGCCCAGCACCGTGGTCGGTAGAGCCTGCAAGAACTGCCCAGACCAAGGCTCCGCCATGACTGGCCCATGCCCCACCCCGGGGACTGTCACTGTAGTCCCCACAGCGCAGGCGTCTGGTCTTCCGGGCCCAGGCCCATTAGTACGCACGCGTAAACCAGGCAAGGTGAACCTACTTCGCTTGCGCGAAGAGTTGGCAGTTTGGGGCGGAGTAATAAAACCGCGCACGCGCACTAGCCCCACCCTGCTTGCTTAAAGGATGAGTGAGCCGAGAAGCATAAAATAGCAACCAGGTCTTTTATAGCCCCGGAGTTCCCGTGATGCCCCACGCGGCTGCAGTGATTGGTTAAGCGCCTTGCTTTTAGGGCGTGGACGCGCTCCTGAGCAATCGTGGCTGAGCTGTGAGTGCGCGCGCGTGCGCGGGACCGCGACTGGGGCTGGCTCGAGCCCGCTGGCACACGGGGGCGCGCACGTCGCTCCCCGCCCTCCCGCCGCCGACCGCCCTCGCTCGCTCGCGCTCCCCGCCCGCCGCCCGCCGTTCTTCGTCGGTTCTCTCGTTAGTCTGCTGCCGTCTTCTCAGCCACCCGCCCGTCTCCGAGCTTGCGACTCGCGGACAGGCGTCCTCGGCGCAGAGAGGCCGGACTGCGACTCGTCGCCTGAGGTGAGCGAGAGGGTTCCCTCCTGGCGCTGCGGCGCCCCGGGCCCGCCCGCCCGCCCTCCCGGCACTCTTCCGGCCGCCCGCCCGCCCGCAGCCCCGCCGCGGCCGCGCCCCACCTGCTGCTCTCAGCCGGCTGCCCCTGGGCCCCGGCCCCTGCCCCTGCCTCCTGGCCCGGGCCCCGCTCCCCAAAGCGGCGGCCCCGCCCGCGCAGTCCCCGGAAGCGCGCCCCGCGGCCTCCCGCGCCCCTTCCCCCGCCCGGCCAGGCCTGGTGGAGCCCAAGCCGCCCGCTCGCGGTCCCCGGTTCTTCCTCTCTCACGGCTGTGCCGGGCAGGGCGGGGGCTTCGAGCCGGGCCCGGCGACCGCGCCGTGCAGCCGGCCCCGGCGAAGCGCGCGTGGCTGTTGAGAGTTGAAATGGGAAAGAAACTCTTTACAACTCCATTTTGGCTTTTACACTGAATATGAAACATGAATCACCGTTTTATACAGGGTGAAGTCCAGTTATGTTTTGGGTAGATTTTCTTTTTAAATGCAGTATTCTCGGAGATTTGTAAGTTAAGTAGTGTTGAAATCTTACGGGTTAGGATTCTTGGGTATTGGAAAGGGAATTTTCCAGTTGAAAACATTTTTTTTCATGATTTAAACTGTGTTGCATTGAAATAGAACATTAATTTGGAATTTTGCTTAGTCTAAGTTACTACCTTGATAGGAATCACCTAAACAGCTGTCCTTAGTTACCGATTGAACCCAGTTAACAAGCCGTCTTTATTAAATAGCACTGTTTGCACGCAAATCGAATTGGTCAAAACAATGTTTAGTAGTTTATGGTGTAAAATTGGCATCCTTTTTGCCTCACAGTTGGTTTCACTTGTGTTTTTTAAGGGTCCTGATTTAAAATTTTTACCAATATTCGTGACTTGTTTGCTTCTTTTTGTGTTTTTGTCTTTGAAGAAAATGTTTCTTGCAGGTGTGCGGTCAGATTATAGTCCTCCCTCCCAGATCTGAAGGGAAAAAATACTTTTAAAA